TCTGTAGCTTTGGAGACTGTCCTAAAACTAGCTCTTGGAGACAAGGCTAGTTTCAAACTCACAGATCTGCCTGCATCTGCCTCCTGAGTGCTGGGATTAAAGGCGTGAACCAACACTACCCAGGTTTCTTTTCTTTTTTTCTGTTCCTTCTTTCATATTTCGAGACTGAATTACTCTGTTTTACTTTGGAGCCTGTCCTGAAACTTGCTCTGTAGACCAGGCTGGCTTCAAACTCACAGAGATCTGACTGCCTGTGCCTCCCACATAGTGGGATTAAAGGCGTGAGCATTCTTTTTAGAATCCAAATTCCAGAAATGTCTCTCCCCAAGTCACAATTGCAATTCCTGGTTTTGGCTTGTTGGGTTTCTGTTAGAGATGGGATGCTGGCATCAGAATTTAGTTTGTTTTTTATTGATCTGAATTGAAGCTCTAATTTTGGCAGTTAAATTGAGGTGAGGATACCGGATTTTATCTGAAGGGCTCAGATTCACTGTGTGGGACAGATACCTCGATGCAGAATCCTCCTACATTCAGTTCTAATGTAGGCTGGCAGCAAGCAGGTGGATAGGCTGTGTCAAGCCAGTCTCGGGCATCCTGAAATTACCTGTGTGGAAGGCAATCCGAGACAGTGGGAGGGACTGGTGCGTTGTGACAGGACCACTCGGCTGTAAAGAGAAGTTGGGAGAGGTTAGACTTTAGATGTTTGAAGAGAAGGACTGCAGATTGGAAGAGTGTATCGAGTGAGTGAGGAGTGCGAAGGTGCACTGTGAAGATGAAGAGGTAAGTGAAAAAGTCCATGTCCCAGATGGAACTTCCAGACCTGTGATGTGGAGAATTCCTGGTGCAGACCTGGGTGCTGAGGAAAAGCACAGATCCTCACTGGGACTCAAAAGCTACACACAGTCACAGGTTCCAGGTCAGGAATCATGAAAAGTCACCAGTCAACAGCACAGTGACAGGAAATGCTGGCCTGGGACATCAGGGTGAAGGGAATAAGAATGCAATAAGTTTCTCTGGTATGAAATTTGTCAGAAACTTCCACTATGTCTGTCTAACTCTAGCGGACAAATTTCAGAATATATGAACTGCACTAATCCTTTTAATGATTTTCATTGCCAAAATATTCTTTTTATTATTTTCTTACTTTTTATTCTTTTTTTACTTTAAATTAAAAACCATCTTATTATAAATACCAATCCCTCTCCCTCCTGTCCTGTCATGCCTCCCACCATCCCCATCCCACCCACCATTCACTCTAGGAGGGGGGAGTTGACTGCTCCTATGGGGGAATCTTCAAAGTCTGTCACATCTTTTGGAGCAGGGACTAGGCCCTCCCCAATGATCCTAGGCTGAGAGAGTACCTATCCCCAGGGAATGGATTCGCAAAGTCTGTGCACTAGGGATAAATACTTGTTTTACTGCCAGAGACCCAATAGACCTCCCTAAACTGCCATCTGACATCCACGTTCAGGGGAGCTGGTTCAGTCCACTGCTGTTTACCCAACTGTCAGTCTGGGTACATGAGCTCCACTTGCTCAGGTCAGCTGTTTCTGTGGTTTTCCTCAGCATGATCTTGAAGTCTTTGCTCATCACAACTTAGTCCCTGCATCTACCTCAGTCTCCCAAGGACTAAGATTAAAAGTGTGCCTCAAAACAACCATTGAAGCATGGCAGCTGGCAATTTGTAAGTCATAAAGGCCAGGGAGTGGAGGCCCACACCCTTAATCCCAGCCCAAGGCATGAGAAAAGAAACAGACAGCAGTTCAAGGCCACCTCGCCTACTGGAGATTTAACAAGTCTCAAAATAGATCTGACAACTTTAATGCCAGTACTTAGGGATCTCACAGCTTTAATCCCAGCACTAGGGAGGTGGAGACAGGAAGAAATTTGGCTGAGAGAGGTATATAAGGCAGGAGCATACAGCAGCTCCAACCATTCAATCTGAGGACTCCTAGAAACTGTATCTACCATTTTGACTTGAGGATTCAGTAGAGGTAAGAAGTCTCACTAGTGACTATTTTACTTCTCTAATTTTTCAACTTTGGAGCATTATCTGACTCTTGGTTTACTAAGACTAATGAGATTTCTGGCTGCAATGCCCCAACCCACTGGACATTCCTCGTGGGTCTAGGGGACACGTAGGAGAAAGACGAGGGACAAGAGATACCAGGCAGGACACCAGGACAGGGGGTCTGATCAATGTGAGGAGATGTTATTCTTTCCGAGGGGTATTTAAAGGGCTTGGAGGAGGAAGCAAGGAGGGAAGGGAATGGTGGTGATGACCTCAGCTGCAAAGAAACTGTCAAGGCAAAAAGTCAGTGGAAGAGGCAGTCTCCAGTGTTGCCTGGTAACCTAATCCGCAGGGCAAAAGGTCAGGGGTAGAACCTCCTGTGTTGCTTGGTAACCAGACAGTAGGTTCTTATTTTATCTTTCTCAATCTTTCCCTATTGCCCAAGCCTATCTCCTGGCAGACTTGGGGCCTTTCTGTTGAACTAATCTTTATGTGACAACTAAGCTACAGGCCTGTTTATGGAATTCAGCAGAGGTAGCAGTTTGATCCTTATTCATGTCCCCTCTACAAGGATGAATTCATGTCTTCCCTATAAGGACATGATGCTGCCACAGCTGACATATGGCTGGTGGCCCCTGACACTCCAAAACATGTTTTGTTCTATTTTGTGGTATGTTGAGACCCACTGGTATGACTGTTGACTTCCCACAGGAGGAGGGTCAATGCTTGAAGCCTGTTTATAGGGCTGTCTACTGAGAATGGATGCTGCCAAATTGCAGCAGTCTGCTCTCTGTGAGAATATTTTCCTTTAAATGTCCCTTGTTCCTCCTCAGAGTTTCCTGAAAAATTTCTCTGCAATTGTGATCCCCATTGGCAGTTTTAGGACATTCATCAAATTTGGTCTGTGAAAATTCCTTAACATATTTTTGTGTGTTTTTGTGATCCCAATGATTTAGTTCCATTTCTGCTCCTGACATTTAACCAACAAGTGACTGGAAGTGGTATACAGCATATACTCACTGAAAACGCAACCTAGTATTTTCAGTATTATGACTCTGCATGACAATAACGAATCATTAGTAGAATCTTTCATCTTTATCTACTGAGTACAGTATTGAGTTAGAAATCTAGGTGCTTTCTGAATGATGTGTTTCTCAAATGTAAGGTAAATAAATGATCACCCAGATCTGTTCACCTGTGGGGCCAAACCAAGGGAGATTGAGGAGACAGTATCTAAAGATATGGTGGGACATAAACTCAGTTTTGCCACATTCTGTTTCACAAGAAATAATTCAATAGACTTCCACTGAGAAAGATGTCAGAATTATCCCGCTATAGCTGTGAGAAGACTTCCTACATGAGAACTGATACTTGGAGGCAAATCAATTTTATATGCAAGTGAATGTGAGTCACGGATAGCAGTTTTAGGTTCTCCTCCAAGATACATCATTCACTAGCCCCAGAAAATGGCTAGGTTTCCAGTACAAGGCATGATTTCCCTCTTGTTGAACAGGCCTCAAGCACAATTAGAAGCTGTTGGTTACCACCAATGTGTGTGTGCCACTCTTGAAGCCTTTGTGTTTTTGTGCAGTGTAGATCATGGTTATGGTTCATAATTTTGACAGCTGGGTAGGACTGTTGGCTTCCTCGTTCAAAAGCTTGCATGTTTCCTTATGAGACTATGAAAGCTAGTTACCAGGGAGGTGGGTTTAAATTCTGACCCATCCCAAGTCCTCTGGCTATGACTGTAGCACATGGCTTCTTCAGCTGTAGGGCCCCACCCATGGGAGGCAAATGTGGACAACCCCAGTAGCCTGTACTGTTTTTGGAATGTCAAGGACAGCTGTGACCAACAACATAAAAACAGGCTGCTGTGGGTGGTTTGTTAGAAAATCCATGACTCTTTTGAGTCACATCATCAACTGCAATGGGAAATTATCATTTATACTCTAACTGAACATGCTTACAGAGACATATGTGTATTGTAGGTATTTTGGGTGGTTGATAACAGTAAGATTTCTTATGACTTTTTCCAGACATCATTACTGATATTTTAGTCACCTGTGTTTATGTCTCTCTTCTTCATACACACACACACACACACACACACACACACACACACACACACACACACACACTTTATTCTAGTTCCCCCCTTTTTAGATCATTGTTCACTATTTTTATTATGTCTATTACTCTGTGTTACCCCACTTTGGTCTCATTTTACTTCTCTGGTTTCTGAAGTTACTCCAGGTTGTGTAGTCACATCTAAAGATTTCCTATAAGAACTTCCTATAAGAGAGAATATGCAATCTCTGTCCTTCTGGGTATGGGTTTCTCCACTCATTATGATCTTTTCTTGGTCTATCCATTTATCTGGAAAGATCCTGATTTCAATTTCTTTAGAGTTGAATAATATTTCACAGTGTATGTGTACTACATTGTCACTATCCATTTGTCCAGTGCAGGGACATTTAGGATGTTTCCATTTTGCAGCTATTGTGAATAGAGAAACAATAAATATGGCTGAATAACTATCTGGGAAGAAGGATGCTAAGTCCTTTGAGAATATGCCAAGGAATGAGAGGCCTGCGATGACTTGCTAAATTTATTTAAGTTGAGGATTTATTTATTTGAAATTTATTATTTTCCATCTTCTCATGCATAAATCCTCTGATTCTCCTGTATAAATTTTGCCTCTAATTATTGTATGCAAATATGCTTTAGTGAAATCAATTATCTTAGCTTGAGAGTATTTTAAAATGCACTTATGTCTCTATCAATTTTAAGATAGATTTTTCTGAATGTAATAATATAGTTGAGAATGATTTTCACTTCAACCTTTAAATGTCATTCAATGTTCTTTGGATCTAGGATCATTGTCTGGATACCTGGTATTTTGTTTGCTTGTGATTTTTCTGTCAATTGACAGTTTCTCTAAGAGCTATCAGGATTAATTATTTCTTTTTCTTTTGATCCATAATATGAGAGGAGAGCAAGCTATCTATCTGCTCATTGTTCCTGAAAGAGAAACTCAAAGAAGAAAACAGAAAGAAATGACTGAATCTCCAGTAACCATGTCCCAGGTCAGTGGCCATATCCACAATTCTAGAAATATTATATGATAAGATATTGCAAGTCATTAATTTTTCTGGTGGTAATATTTTAAATTTTATTATGAAAATTGTTTCAAATAAACAACAAAAACATACTGAAATTAATCAGATCTAAACTTTGTACAAAAAATGTACTTTTATTTGGTAAGAATAGTCATTGGGAACAGAATCTCTGGAGTCTTACAAAAGGAGTCTTACACATTAGTTATTGAATATATATTTAGCAACTTATCCATCAGAAAAATAAAAAAGAAATGTGATAGAATTAGAGCTATGAGGACATTTAGATATATACCTAATTTTATAAGTGGTGTTTATTACCTTTATTCAGTCCTACCTCAACCTTGATATTCAATGTTTGTTGTTTCCTTTCCTAAGTATTATGGCGTGCCCTCATGCATATTGTTTCTCATATATACATATTATTGACCAGTTTCTGTGTATGAGGAAAATGTGATTTTTTTCTTTCTGACATTGTATGACTTCACTTAATAGTACACATTCTGAGTCCATTTTACAGAAAATTTTGTTGATATTTTCTCTTCAACTGCATGATATTCCAGTTTATATGTATAGAATTTTATTTAGAATTATGTTGACTCTAATACTTTCCTATGGTAAATGCAGTAGCAGTGAATAAGGGATGCAAATATTGTCAGTATTGGGATGTGGAGGTCTCTCGTTATGTTGTCAGGAGGGACATTGATGGGTCGCACATTGTCTCTCCAATTTTGTGAATAATTTCAAAACTGATAAAACTGATTCACATAATGACTATTTATTTACACTCATTTACAAACACCAACAGTGTATGAGTGTTTCTTTCTCTCCTAATCTCTAATATTTGTTTTCTGGTTAGTTGATGACAGCCATATTTCAAATCATCTTTTGTTTGTGTTTCCATGATGGCATTTTAGGGATCCTGAACACTTTTGTAATATTTAACGGCCCTTTGTATATTTGTCTTTCAAGATTACCTGTTTCTTGTTTGGCAGTTTTAGTTCTTTTTAATTCAATTTCTGAAATTCTTTTTAAATTCTATATATGAGTTCCTATTTGAATTTCTGCTGGTATAGATTTTCTCCTATCAGCTGGGTGTCTGTGAATAATGCTAATTGTTTCCCTACGGAAATATTTTGTATTCATATAGTCTCATCCTCTCTGTTCCTGTGCTGTTGGTATTCTTTCACAACAATAAGACCTCCCCCTTCCCAACATCCTGGTGGGTATTTTCTGTTTTCTAGACTTATATGCGTTTCTGTCACTAAATAAGGTTTTTTCATTTTTGAATGAATTTGTACAAATGAAAGAATACAATTAAATTAAAAGAATCATTTGTAGAAAAGAACACATTTTGTAATATACTTTTTTCATTGTTTGTTAAATATTAAATATGCTTAGCTTCCTGCTTTTCTTTCTTGTTCCTCTGCCATATTCTCTTATCTACCTTTTTGATGACCATACCAGTCAGTATTTATAACAACAACTATGCAATGGAATTCTATAAACCCACACTTTTAGAATTTTTCTCCATTTAGCACATACCAGATTATTTTCCCTAGCTGGTAAATATGTCATCTGATAGTATAACCTGTAAATTTGAAAATATTTCCATTTTATAACATAACCATAATACACATGTATGTGATGCCAATTTGCTGTAAATGATGGAATATAACTTTATGTTTTAGTAAGTGACAGCTCCTGTGTCATGTAGTCTCTGTTTGTGAGCACTGTCCCATTTTCTTGAATCATGGTTATAAATATCCACATATTGAAACACATGAGATAGAGGTCACAACATCCTAAAATAGGTGCAATTAAGAGACAAATCTTAGTTTTTAATGATAAGTAATTCTTGGTTCCAAATACTAAAAATTAAGCACCCTAACCACTGTGGAATGTGGCTTGTAAATGTGGCTTATTCCTGCCATGAAAATGTATTTTTGAATATAGATTCAAATTGTAGTTGTGCTAGTTAGGATTTCAAAATCTGTGAAGACATACTTAGACCATGACACCACTTCTAAAGGACAACATTTAATTGAGGTGTCAGCTCACATTTTCAGAGACTCAATTCATTATCATCTTGTTTGTATACAGAAAGATAAGTTAGAGAGTTAGCGGAGAGTCCTGAATTTGCAGTCTCTAGAAAGTCAGCTGAGTGACACATTGAGTGAACCTTGGGAAAGGAGATCTCCATCTCACCCCCACAGTGACACACTCAAAGCCATATTGATATCAACAAAGCCACAACTGCTAAAGCACCACTTCCCATGCAGGGCAATTACATCCAAACTATCAAAGTAATCTAATTGAATTTCTCCTTGGTGTTTAGTATTACGGTGCCTGCCAGCCCCTGGGTTCAGAGCTGTCTCAGCCCTCAAATAACTTACGAAACACTGTATTAATTATGAAGCTGTGGTGGTTTGCTCAGTTTCTTATTGGCTATCTCTGACTTAATCATTAAGCCATAAATGCTTATCTGAGTATGTCCACGTGCTCTTCTCTTACTGGTGAAAAGGATGAGGAACTGTTACTTCTCCCACCTCCTACATCTTAACTGACTTTGCCTCTCTTTCCCAGAATCCTCCTCAAATTCTAGTCCCACCTATCTTGCTTCCATATTAGCTAACAAAGCTTCAGTTAACCAACCAATAAGACAACATATACACAAGGACTTTCCCCATCACACATTAGTGATGATATATCACATACTTGTGAACATCTGCCATATAGTTGTCTCAGGATGTTTGGTCCTCACACCACTCACTTGTTTAGGATGCTCAGTTGAAACTTCCCAAACTAGAGAGAACACTGTTTTGGTTTTTTGTTTGTTTGTTTTGCTTTGCTTTTGAAGACAATCTTTCTGTGTAACCCTGGCTCTCCTAGAAGTAGTATGTAAGCCAGTCTGGCCTCAGACTCACAGAGATCCACAAGTCTCTGTCCCCAAGTGCTGGGATTAATGGCATATACCACCACATCATGAAAGAGATTAGTATCTTTATTACTCTTTTTTTCTTTGCTCCAAATACAATTGGATTTCATGGTTGAGAATCATTATGTAGCGTTATGTAGAATTCACATGGAATAATGTCTTGATGGTATTGACTGATAGATGTGCAGAAGCCATCAAGTTTGATGCAGAAAAAAACATTTCTCATGATTGCTTTGTTCTAGTCAGTTGCTGTGAGTGTCTTCTACCACACCCTGAAGCTACAGTGTTTTAAAGTGGAGACTTGGGGAAAGGACTCTGAGCTGTAGGTTTGCATATATGCCTTACTTATGGTTCAGAAAGAATATGTCAACACTATGCACTTCCAGAAAAATAAGGGAAGAATCATAAACACTAATAACATAAAATCTTTTAGACAATATGGCATAAGTACTAAAAAGGAACTCATTACAACTACAAAATTCAGATGCAAAAAGGCCTATTTTATTTCCTGAGCTGTTCTTCTGAGCTCTATAACATTTGAAAAGCACTGACAAGGTGATGATATTTCTCACATTATTTCCTATGTTATTTGTTGACCTTAAATATATGTCATTTTAATGCATCCACATTTATACTTATGTCTACTTGCTTAGGTACAACTTAAACATCATAGGATACATTTCTGGATATTGTATTTGGATTTGTCTTGTAGGACCACCAGATCTCCAATAATTGCACTGAGACTTATTGTTGTTTATGAAAACTTGGCCTTTAGGCTTGTCCAAGATACCTCTTATACCTCAAGTTTACCTGTTTCTATTAATCTATGTTGTGTCATGTGGGTTTTCACTTGTCCTTCAGCTTTCTTACACTTTGCTATTGGTTTTTCTGGCATCTACTTCCCCTCGTGATACCTCCTGAGTTCTCTCTTTTCATGAAACTCTGGCTTCACTGGCAGGCATTTGGCTCTTTATTGAACCAATCAGGTGCATTAAGCAGGTGAGGCAAAACATATACACTTGGTCATGCAATGTAAACAAATATCCTGTAACAGGACTTCCCTCAATTTTTAGAACACTACAGAAATGTAATATTCTTCTGAATATCTGAAATTGTTATTTAGCATAAGTTGTCATAGTCCTATTTTGTTAGGTAAATTTTAGATTGTGTCAAATGTAGTTGATGTGGCTTTTTTTTATCTGCTTGTTACTGACTCAAAAATATGTGTAAAAGAAATTGCATAGGTTACCTGTTCTTATATGTTAATGTTTAAAGCAACAGTATGAAGTTTTATTACACACAGAGTTACTGTGGAAAAAAGACAAAATTATCTGCCAGTGAACTCAACCATGAATTATACCTTACATATCTACCACTTTGCTGTGTGATGGAATGGCAAGGAACATGAGGTTCAAACAGATGAAATGAGCATGTTAGAATAGAATCATGTAAAATCAAAGAATTCACAGAATCGATTGAAGGGCAGGGCATTATATCGACAGGGACAGTAATTAAAGCTCAATTTCTTACCATAAGTATGCCTTCTGAATCATGTACACTCTGATCTTATGGGACATAATCACAGCATCCATAACAGATACATAACAATGACCAGACATTGAATATGTGTAGTTTTGTTTATATTGTTTATGAGCCTGTTGTGTCATACTGTTTTTACAGACCTAGGACATCCATTATACAAGGTGACTATATTCAAATCATCAGTTTGATTAAATGTCCTCCTCGTCATCTACATCCTTAATTCCCTCAAGTCTATTCATGTACATGAAAGCACTCTGTCTATTAACACATGTTCAAACAATTCTCTTGCTTCAGGGTCTGTTGACTTTCAAGGATGTATCTGTGGACTTCTCCCAAGAGGAGTGGCAAAGCCTGCACTCTGCTCAGAGGGCTTTGTACATTGATGTGATGTTGGAGAATTACAACAACTTGGTCTCTGTGGGTGAGAACATTTTACTTAGAGAATCCCTAACTTATAATCTCTTGTATGTATGGGCTGGGGGAATCCTTCATTTTCTTATTAATACAGGATACACAGCCTTCATTATGGAAAATACTCTTAGGAGATTTGCACCCACTAGACTCCAATAACCCTATGAAAAATGTTAAAGAAACATGGCACCATGTGGACCTCAGTCAATGGAGAGTACAAATAACCCAACAATGCTTATGACAGCCCTGTCTCAAATGATCTGAGTCCCTGATAGCTGGCAGAATACTGCCTTTCCTTCTTCTGCTTTTGAAGACTCTAATGTGTTTTTCTAGAGAGAAAATAAACTCTGTGATACTTTTAAGTAAGACTTAAATCTTTTAAGGAATTTGGTCTTATGAATAATACTTTTCATTGCCTCTCACTTAACAGTATGAGTACTGTGAACCTGGGATTGGATTAAACTCCTCTTCATCAGTTTCAGAGTAATGATTTAAACATTAACACATGTATTTTACATTTAATGCATCAATGAGCGCATCCCAAAGCTAATCATTTCTTCCTCATTTTCCTGACACATCTGGTGCCATTACACATTTTCATAAGGTCGAGATGTCTGTTATAATTCACTAATATTGAAGACTATCAGTCTGATTTTATGAGAACATGTTTAACTAGTGTTTGAGAAACATATCTAAGTGCTTGATGGTTGACATTTTTTAGTGACAATACAAAGAGAGATGACTATTTATCAGATGTTTCATTTTGGAGCAATCCACACTAATATGAGCTTACTAATTTTCCAGAGAACTATTACATGTGTGATCCTGTCCATCAACATGGGAAGACTGAACAGGAGTCTTGTCAGTGTAATCAGTTTGGGAAAATTCTCCATGACCCCTCCACATGTGCACTTATTCGAATGAGTGAAATTACAGAAAACTCTAATGACTGTAGATGCAGTAGTGCTGGAGATGCCTCTCTTGACCTATCATACACAGATAGACATGAAAGTGTGCACATAGGTGGAAAACCTTGCAATTCTAAAGACTTTGAGAAACCCTTAAATTTGAGTTCCAGCAGTACTCAAGATCAGAGACTCTATACTAAAAACAAAGAACACAGGGAAGGAGAAGATGATGAATGTTTTGACACTACACATACTCTTTTGCAACAAGCAAATTACATTGGAGAGAAACGGAACCAGTGTGGGAAATGTAAGAAATGCTTCAGCACTGCCTCATACCTCACTGTGCATCACAGAATTCATACAGGAGAGAAGCCTTACAGGTGTAAGGACTGTGACAAATCCTTTATTATGAAGTCAAGTCTTACAAAACATGAGAGAATCCATACAGGAGTGAAGCCTTACACATGTAAGGAATGTAACAAGTCCTTCAATGCGAGTTCAAAGCTTATATTGCATAAGAGAATTCATACAGGAACGAAGCCCTACAAATGTAAGGACTGTGAAAAATCCTACACTACGAGGTCAAATCTTATACTTCATCACAGAATTCATACAGGAGAAAAGCCTTACACATGTAAGGTCTGTGACAAATCCTTTATTATGAAGTCAAAACTTAAACAGCATCAGAGAATTCATACAGGAGAAAAGCCTTACAGATGTAAGGAATGTGACAAATCCTTTACTATGAAATCAACTCTTACAGAACATCAAAGAATTCATACAGGAGAGAAACCATTCATATGTAATTACTGTGACAAATCCTTTACTGTGAGGTCAACTCTTATAGTGCATCAGAGAATTCATACAGGAGAAAAGCCTTACAAATGCCAGGAATGTGACAAATCTTTTACTACATGCACATATCTTGGTGAACATCAGAAAATGCATACTGGAAAGAAATCTTATAAATGTGAAGAATGTGGCAAATCTTTTACTACAAGCACATATCTTAGAAAACATAAGAAAATTCATTCTGGAGAGAAGCCTTACAGATGTGCAGAATGTGACAAGTCCTTCGTCCAGAGTTCAAATCTTAAAAAACATCAGAGAGTACATACTGGAGAGAAACTGTACAAACGTACGCTACATGAGAAATACTTTTCCTTCAAGAAAAATCTTAGTACACATCAGAGTCTATACTGAAAAGAAAGTGAAAAAATCTGGAATGTGACAAATCCTTTGCCTACATAAAATATTTTAGTGCACCTCAGAGAGTTCACAATGGAGAGACAAACACCACTGTAAATAATTTGATAAAGCATTTATACAGTGTTCTTGATTTAAAAATCCCAGATATACATAATGGAAAGATAATGATAAGGACCTTTTGAAAATATTTATATAAGTTTTAAAACGTATAAAATAACAGAGTTCATACTGAAATATGGAGAGATGGCTCAGAGGTTAAGAGCACTGCCTGCTCTTCCAGGGATCCTGAGTTCAACTCCCAGCAACCACATGGTGGCTCGCAACCATCTGCAATTCAATCTGGTGCCCTCTTCTGGAAAGTAGGCTGAACACTGTATAAGTGATAAATAAATAAATCTTTTAAAAAATTCTAATAAAGTAACTTTGTGAAATATTTTAAATGTGTGTGGTTGCCTTGGTTACAATATTTTCTGGAACTATCTGTTTGATGACTGTGGAGGTCAGAAGAGGGCATCATACTACCTGAAGCTGCACTTAAACACAGTTGTGAACTATGTATCTTGTTCAACATCTAAATATTGAAAATAATGTCATGCAAGTTGTTACATACCTTCAATCCCAGGAATTGGTAGGCAGAGGCAAGGAGATCTCTGAGTCTGAGGTCACCATGATCTACATAGTCAGTTCTAGGGTTTGTCAGGGCTTTATACCCAGTCTTAATAATAATAATTGCCATGCCCACTGTGCAGCCTGTATCCGAAAATATGCGGAGAGTGTCGGGATTGATGATGCAGAGACCAGAAGGCTCCTCAAGAAGGCTCTCCTTTATTCCTACTCTGGTTGGGTATTATGTACCCTGACACCAGAGGCGGTGGTGGGTGGGTCTGAAAGAGGCAGTTAGTCTTTGGAAAAGGTCGAGGTCAGGGTGTTCCCGTGGCCGAGCCCATTTCAGGAACTTATTGCCCTGGGCACTGTTTTTTTTTTTTTTTTTTTTTTAGTAAACATGTTTTTACTTGTCTTACAGCTGCCTACTCCCAGGCTGATGGGGAGTGGGTCTCTGGACAAGGTCCGTTGTCCCCACAAATAATGATAATAATAACAAAATATAGTTACATAAAAATGTGGCAAAGACCTCTATTTGTGTTGTACATCACACAACTCATATTTAAAAGAACTACATAAATTTTTATCGTATATAATACCTACCCATCATTATACATTTGAAGTTACACCCATCAAACACATTCAATTAGACTAATCCTTTCCATAGTGTTCAAATTGGTCACAAAAGCAAATCCCACCCTAAACTAAATGCAAAAAAGTGATCCAATAATATCTCATCATTTGCTCACTAAAAATCTTCATGGTAGAATAAAACCTTAAGATAGAAAGAGGGTGACTGGGTATATAGAGAGAAGCTGTCCGTGTTAGTGCAAACATTTCTGTTGAGCATGGTGAAAGTCATTGATCCAGCTAAGCATCTTGACCAAGATCCAGCAACCCTGAGCTATATGATGCCCTTGACCAGAATCTACACTTTGACCTCCCCATCTTTCATGCTTGGGTTAGTTCATATCTGTACAACGTGGACTGATACAAATCCTGATGAATCGTTCATGACTTCTCCAGGAGTACTGCCTCTAAGCTTCCCTAGGGACATCATGTGCACTGAACCTCTCTGATTTTAGGGAAATATCCTCATCGAACTTAAACGTCTTCCTCATGCCTTTCAGGATGTGATGCACATAAAGAAGACAGAGGTCTCTTGTTGAGGCTCTGATATATATTCTTAAAATATCCATGCCTGTACTTATTCAAGAATAAGTTAATCAGAACAAAGTCCAAGTCTTCCTACAGTATGTTCAGACTATTATGTGTTATACCCAGTAACAACGTTAGAGTGGCTAGAGCTACATCTACCCTACACAGGGATTCATATCAATGGGAAAAGAATATTGTGAAAACTGATCAAAGAATGAGGTTGTCAGGACCTTCATTTCTTAGAAAAGTTAGCCTGTGCAGGGCTGCTATGATGTCCTGTGACCACAGAATAAAAGTATTAGGATTATATATATACATTGAATTTGTTAAGATATAGAATATGAATATTGTATTATTGCAGAAAAAGAACATCGACTGCAGTAGATTTGTGTTGAGAATCTTTCTTGAACACAGTGACCATTAAGAATTATTAAAACACTTGCCAGGGTTGGCTTGAGACATTTTGCTTTCTAGCATTCTTGAAAAATTAAGAGCTGCCAGCCTGAGAATGGGCTTCAATTGCCTCTAGATTCTTAGAAATTGGGTTATGCAGCTGGTGTTTGAAAATGATTGTAATAGATAACTGCTTTTTCACAGTTTATCAATAATGACTAAAAGATATAAAAAGATGTTAAACAACACAAATCTGGAAACAAAAATGACATGACAAATGTTTTAGAACAACACGAACCAATCTCTGTTTAGTGAATTCTATATAAACAGAGAAGCAGCAAAGTATAACTCAGTCCTCCTTCACCTACGCCTTGCCTTTGCAACTTGTCAACCAAATGGGCTGCCTACTCTACAAACAGCAGTGACATAACAGGCATAGTCACAAATGTCTTAGCAATCCCCAATGGCTTTGGCTCAGTAGTGCAAAATGAAAACCTTTTTCAAAATAAAACAACCAAAAACAAACAAACAAAGAAGCAAACCTCTTGACACATGCAAAAAAGAAGATTCCCATTGTGTTATGTCATTATGGTATGAGTTTGCAGCCTTTGGTTATATTACTAAGAGTGGAATTGATGAGTCTTGGTGTAGATAGATTTCCATTTCCTGAGAAAACAACCTACTGATTTCCAAAGTGGCTGTAAAAGTCTGCATTCCCATAAGCAATGGAGCTTATGGAGCAGAAGCAGAGATTCCCAGCTAAGCACTGACCTGAACTCTTGGAGTCCAGTTGTAGAGAGGGAGGAGTGATGAACAAAGGGGTTCAATACTATGTTGGGGAAACCCAGAGAAACAGCCGACCTATGCAAATAGGAGCTTAGGGATTCTAGACTGTCAGTTGAGGAATCTACAAAACACTGAACAAAGCCCCCTGATTGTGGGTGTTAGTTGGGATTTTAGGGGAGTTTAGGGCCACTAACAGTAGAAATATTATTTATTCCTAGTACATGAATAGCCTTTTTAGAGCACATTCCTTGTGGAGTAATTCCTTGCTTAGCCTAGATACAGGGGTGGGTTAGTCCTGCCCCAAATATTGGGACAGATTTGAGGATTCCCCATGGGAGGCCTCATTCTCTCTGATTCTTGAATGAAAGTACGATGATAAGATTGTGGGCCAGTTGGAGGAATGGAGAGAGAGTGATCTGGGATTGGGGTGTAAATGAGACTTTTTAGTTTATGTCAAATATAAAATCCCCATGGACTGTTGACTCAGTGGTGCATAATCTCAGAATTCTGGAGGCAGAAGCAAGTGGATCACTGAGAGTTCAGTAGGTTTCATAGTCCAACCTCCTAGACAAATAGAGATATACAGATAAACCCAACCTCATAAAACAAAACAATAAAAAATGATGAAATACTAGAGGAAATTCATGATTTCCTTACCAAAACATTCACATTTTTACCAGCACCAGTAGGTAGCTTGATTTCCAGTAACAGCCATTGTTTCTCGTTTGTCAACTGGGTCTTAAGTCCACTGAGTGAGGTGTTGGCTGATGTTGTATGGTATATTGCTTGTGTTCTGATAAGTAAATCTTGCTGAGATATCAGATAACAGAGATAGCCACTGGTGAACCAAAATTGTCAGGCTCTGTTGGCACATACAATTTATCCCAGCAATTCAGAGGATGAACTCCAGAGAAAAACTAACAGAAAAGTTACTTAAAATATTTTTTGACATATGGGTTGTGCTGACAAAAGCCTTCAATCCCTGTACTCACGAGTCAGAACCAGCCTGGTATTCAGAGTTACAGTACAGTCAGTATTTATCAAAACAAAACAAAAAAACCAAGCACACAAATCTAATTGACTCACACATAAAAGGAGAATCCAAGTGCCTGTTAGTTTCACCTGATATTCAGCAGGATAATGAGCAGGGTAAGGTGGCATAGTTCTTTATTCTCTGCACACTAAAAAAGAGGTCGGTGGATCTCAGTGGGTTTGAGGTCATCATTTTCTAAAACAGGGAGTGCCAGTACAGCCAGCCCTGTTTCTCAGACAAACACACTCTTAAAAGAAAAGAAAAGAAAACAAACGTAATCATAAAACAAAAAGGATAAATAGTGATAGATGTGGTCACAAAAAAAAATCTGAGCAGGGCAGGATGGCCTAAGCCATCATTACCAGCAGGTCCAATGCAGAGGTAAGAAGACCTTTGGTATTTTAGGCCAGCTGATTCTACAAAGCAACTCGCATGACTGTCAGTGTTACACAGAGGAATGGTGATCAAAAAATCAATAGTTTCCATTAAAATCTATTTCACACACATGCATTTTTATAAACACACAGTCTCTGTGAGTTTGTATATGCATACCATAAACACTGTCCTCTCTCACCTCCTATCTCTCTACCATCCTAGTCTAAATTTCCAACCAATCTCTCTGTTATTTTCCTGTTTATTAATTTTGTTTGGAAGCCACTGAGATTAGCCAGGGCCATGTGTGACACTGTGGATTTGGAACTATGTGTTGGAATCTGGTCGGCTCAACAGAGGACTATACTTAAGGCATTGATTCTTCTCCAAATATCCATCCATAGACAACATTACAGAGGGAAACTGTGTGACCCTGTGCGCTTTTCCTATAGTAGACTGATTGTTGTCTAGTGTGAGTTTAGTGAATGTAAGTGCAGATGCCTTTGGTTACTGATTAAGGTATCTGTGTGGTTTCTAGAGAATGACATGTCTAAGCCGTTCTCTTCTTTCCCGTCTTATTTACAACCTTTCTTCTCCTCCTCAATATACCCAGAGCCATATGTGGATGGTGTAACTGATGTTTTTAGGCAAAAAAAAATCACATACCTGTAGTGAAATTGTGTTTGTAATCTAACAAATAAAGCTTTCCTGAAGATCAGAGTGCAGACCTAAGTCACTAATTAGCCACACACCTAAGCTAAAGAGGCCAGGTAATGTGGGCCACACTTTTAATACCAGCACTAAGCACACAGAGGTTGTTGGATCTCTGTGAGCCACACCTTTAATACCAGAACAAAGGAGGCAGATGTAGTTGGATCTCTGTGACTTCAAGGCCACCCTGTCTTGAACAATATAGAATCACTTTAAAAGAGAAACAGAGATCATACCCTTGCTCCTAGCACTGAAGATCACAAGACATTT